GACTAAAAGTAATTTTAAATATTTTTAAAAATAATTTATAAAAACTTTAAAAATTCAACATGAACATGATTGTAAATAAATTTGTTGGCAGTATTTATTTATGCAAGAAATAGATTTTGAGTAACTTTATCGTTATAATATAATTAAGTGGTAATACCTCAGTCATTTAGACCAATCGAAATCGGGCAGCTCGTTTCGAATCTAAGGCCAAAGTGGTCAAAGCTACTTTAAAATATTCAGCTTTATTATTTTACATAATATTCCAATTTCAAATTAACATTAATAATTATAATGTGTTGCCGAAATTCATGCTGATATGTACATACATACATATATAAATATGTATTTATGTACATACAAAGTCTCTAATAGACTTTCGTCTGTCTATTAGCTATATTTAATCTTTAGTTGGGCTTTGGTGCTTGGGTTAATAGTTCAGAATGCGATTCGATTATTCGGGCGATTTGAAAAGCTGAAGCGAGACATGCGCTGACAGCATGAACAAAGTCTGAACAGCAAAAGTCGAGGTCAAAGGTTAAGCGGCGCATTGATAAGGCACACGGGGCAATTACAAGCTCGCAGTCGTAACTTAGCCATTGCATGTCAAACTGTGTCAGATGGCATATTAAAATCAAAATCTTAAAAAAAAAACTGTTCTAGTTGTTGCTGCGGCGTTGCATTAAATAATCAGCTTGATAACCCCGCGTGGTTGCCGCTGTGGTTGCGCACTGTGGTTTCGTATGGCAATGGGTACTGCTGGAACCACCGAAGCGAACTAAAAAACCCAATTGAAGCTGACGCTAAAAAAACTGAAAACTGATAATCTGTCAAACATACATACACACTTATGTATGTATGTATATGTGTGTGTGTGTATGTGACATATGGGGAGGCAGTCACAAATATTTATTTTTAATGCCCTATTAAAATAGAACTCACCAAATGCGATTGCGTCCATCGATGAATAAACAAATACAAAATTAAGTTTGCTTATCACCTATGCATGTATGCATGTATGTGTGTGCACACACACACACGCACGCACACTCATTGATAAGGCAACAGTGACAGCTTATGCATGTGTCAGAGTTCAAAACTGGAGCACTTAAACGTCGAGCATTACGTATATCAAATGGAATACTTAGACAGTTCTAGACGAGCGCTTAACGCATTTTAAGCATCAGTCGCTGCTTATCAGCAGGTCAGAGTCAGCTCAGAGCCGAGAGCTCAGCTCGATGTGGAGCAACGCTGTCCAATGACAACCAACGGCTGCACACAGCACATTCCTAAGAATGTGATTATGCTCATAATCAAGGAATATTATTAAGAAAGAAATGAAATGAAAATAAAATTATTTGGAATATACTAAAGTAATTTTATAGCAGCTCAGCTGATATTGCCTCACATGTAAGAGTCATAAAAATGTACAATAAAAGTATTTCAATATAAATTTGAGCTCAGCTGCAAAATGAAAATGTATTTCATAATCTTGAACAATAAATATTAAGATTCTAGATTTAAGTGATTTAATTTATTTCAATATTTGTATAAAATTTAGTATTATTTTGTATAATTTTTTAT